GGGTCTCGGAGAGGAGCGAACGGTTGTGCATGCATTAGCGTTGAGCGTCGAGGCCAAGAGTGGGTTGCATTGCGACGTGCGGACAGGGGCTCAACGGTCTAGGGCTCGGGGGTCGATAAAGGGTCAGTGCGAAGAAAGTGGGCAACAAACACGCTGGTCACCGAGAGGCCAGAGAGGTTCAGGGTCCAAACACAGCGCGGGCTTGGGTCGAGGGGTGAAAGGGTTTATCTAGGCCCTTCACTGACGCCATCTCGCTTGGCGTGCTGCCATCAACTCTTCGATATGACTCGGTTGGCGAATCGAGGGCAGCTTTCGCAGCGGGATGTGCATCCTGATCCGTCGACGGCGGAGCCGTTGCTTCCTGCGTCGGCACCTTTGCCGCATGAAGCGACGCGATTGCACAAACCCCCTCGCTGGTGGTCTGGCACCACCTCGCCCTCCTCGACGCTCGGTGATGCCAGTGGGCAGCGTGAACCCAACAGCTGGGCCAAGGTGCGGCATTTGTACCGCGAAGAGCTCGCCGAGTTCTTCGGGACCTTTCTCATCCTCCTCTTCGGTGCCGGGGTCGAGTGTCAGGTGAATCTGCACTTCCATGGTGCTGACACGCGCGATGTGGCCGCGTACGGGAGCTACTTCCAGGGCCGGCTGGCGTGGGCTGCCGGTGTAGCCATGGCCGTGTGGGTATCGGGCGGCATCAGCGGTGGACATTGCAACCCCAGTGTGACGGTCGCCCTGGCGCTGTTTCGCGGCTTCCCGCGTCGCAAAGTCATCCCATTCGTCGTGGCTCAAACCCTGGGTGCCACTGCGGCAAGTCTGTTGGTGTATGCCAACAACTTCACCAATATCGCCCGCTTTCAGGGAGGCGCAGCAAGGACCGTCAAGGGACTCGGAAGCACGGCACCGTTCTTCTTCACGCTTCCCGCGCCCGAACTGTCGTATGCCTCGGCATTCTTCTCGGAATTCCTCGCCACAGCCGTGCTGCTCTTCGTCGTCTTTGCACTCGCGGATACGGCCAACCTCAAGCCACCAAAGGGCACACAGCCTTTTGCGATGTTCATCGTGCTGTTGGGCATCGGCGCTAGTTTGGGCTACAACACCGGCTATGCGATCAATGGCGCGAGGGATACGGGCCCGAGGATCGCACTCTGGCTCGTCGGGTACGGCAGCGAGGTGTGGACGCACGATGCATGGTACTGGGCATGGAACCCGTGGCTCAGCAGTATCCTGGGTGGAGCGGTGGGTGCTGCAACGTACGATGCGTTCTTGTACACCGGTCAGGATAGTCCGTTCAATAGGCCCAAAGTCGTGCGAGGCGGGTACGGTGCGATCCAGGTGACTTCGGATGATGAACTCGAGAGCAGCGCATAGACCGAGACGCTAGAGGATAGGCACAGCTCATGCTTCATTACCGAACACATTCTCATCGCACAATCGAGTCTAAATGATACATCGTCGTCGCTATGCTGTAGTGACTGTGCTGGGGAGAGGTGGGATGAGGAGGGTTAGAAGAGGGGATTGAAGGTGACTGAACCTAACAGACGTGTAAATTTGCGCGACTCAGGGTTCTGTCTCCACATGACCTTTGGCGCAGTTGCTGCGCAACGTTTCGTGCTTGTCCACCATCACCGTTCTGCTTTTCCGGTCTGAACTTGCATCTCCCGAAGCGATAACAGCATGAATTCGAGGCTAACCGAAGCGAATAGCTCCGAGGCATCTTCGTCGCGCACGCTCACGGTCGAACACCCCAACGCTTCGGATACGCAGCCGCACGATGTGGGGATCCTGCGCCTTCGACCCGAACCGCGCTCGCGTCCCGGCGTCGACCAAACCAGCAGCACTGCGGGTGCAAGCACTCGTCGGGTAGTCTGGACCGAAGAAACCGTGGACAACGAAGGCCTCGGACGGAAAAAGTCCAAGAGTAAGTCTCGCTCTTTCTGCCCATTCCCACAACGCGCGCTGACTCGTTCGTGTCACAGTCTGCTGCATCTACCACAAGCCAAAGGCATTTGACGAGTCGTCCGACGAGTCCTCGTCTGCCTCCGACTCTTCCGAAAGCAACTCGGATTCGGACGCAGCTTCTTCGGATTCCGACTCGGGTCCAGCCCTGTCAAAGGCAGCCAAGGAGAAACTCAAACAGCGCACCAAACATCGCCACCACCACCAACACGCCGAGGGCTGCAATCACGCAAAGTCGCGCTCGTCCACAACAACCATTACACAGCAGCAGCCAGATCAGGATCAGAACGCGCGTTCAGCCCACGAACATGAGCCAGCCGACAACTTCCGCCCCAATGCCTACGAACGAGGCACAAGGTAGCCCTCACACTAACATTCAGTGTCATACCCTTCCGTCATCACAGCGTGCATTCGCGAGCCAACCCGGACCGACATCCATCTCTGGGGAACCGCACCACGGCGACTGGATGTGCATGTTTCGATTACTGTGAGCAGGACGTGGTAGGCTCAGGCAAACGGGTCAAAGTCCTTCCATGCGTCTGTGGTCGACTTTGCGCCCGCGCCTCCGACCGCAGCCGACTTATTGGGCTGCAATACGCTACCTCCCCACCCTGGTGGGCCTACCGACGCTGCTGGTGTCGGCGCAATGCTAACTGGCGGAGCAGGCTCGATGGCGGGCGCCAGCGATGAGGACAGCGACGACGACGCTGGGTTCCATCCCGTCCCCGTCGCTGGCGGCAGCGAGATATTGTAGTTCGGCCCCGCACCTCCACCACCGGCTGCACCAGAGGCCGTGGACGTGGCCGCAGCAGGCTTGGCAACACTGGAGGAGCTGGGTTGAAGCACGCTGTTCCAGCTACCGTTGACTGGCGCAATGGTGGCCGATGTGATGGGTGCTGCGGATCTCGACGAGGTGGATGACGAAGAGGCGCTGAGTGGCGGGCGCACAAACGACGGCGGTGGTGCTAGCGCCGGGACGCTGCTTGCAGTGCTCGATGCGGTGCTGGAAGAGAGCAGCGATGGTGTGCTGGGCTTGGGCGCCGATCGGCCCGTGTGCGTGGGTGTGAGACCACCGATGGGCGTGGGCGTGCTCGAGACCGCAGGCGAGATGTCGGACGCCACCAGACCCGCCCCGCCGCCGAGGCCCGAGGATCCGCCACCGAGCGCGCCAAAGTCGTCTGCCAGCCCGAACGGGTCGTCTGCCACCGCCTTGTCCGCGCCGCGTGCTGTTTTGGTCTGGCCGACGAGCGTGGCAAAGTCGATCTCGCCGCCGGCGCCGATGCCAGTGACGCCTCCTGCAGCGCCGTTTGCGCCCGGGCCGCCCGCGCGCGCGTCGGCGGTGTACGAGTCGGTATGCTCCTGCATGCGCTTGACGTCGCGCAGGTGCGCGGTATGCTCCTTCTCGACGCGCGTGCTCATCTCGCGCACCGCCTTCATGAAGCGTCCGAACTGGTCGGCGTTGAGCAGCGGGCCCATGGACATGATCCAGAGCTGCGGGATGATGGCGGTGGCGAGCGTTTCGCGGTCCACCTTGGCTGCCATGCTCTCGTGCACCGCAAGCGTCGCCACCATGACGCTCGGCTCCTTGGTCTTGATGCGCGCCAGGATGGGCACCAGCTTTTCCGTCAGCGTGTACTTGTCCAGAATACCCACCATCGCATGGAAGCAGATCAGACAGCTGACCTTGACGCTGAGCACCTTGGTTTTGGCAAAGAGCGATGCGAGTTTGGGGAAGAGCACCTCTTTGACGTGCGCGTATTCGAGGATCTCGGCGAGTCGAGGTACGGTGCGTAGTGCCTTTTCCTGCACCAGCACGTTTTCCGCCTCGAGCGCAGCATACAGAAGCGGCGTCACCTCCTCGCGGAACGTGGTGGGCGCCGTCTTGGGCACGAACAGCGGCTCGATCTGGTCGAGCAGCAGCAGCATGTTCTGCGGCGGATCCTGCACCGCAAACAGCGGCTTGAGCTTGGGCAGCACCGAGTTGGTGAATTCGAGCGACGAGAGGTTCTTCGAGATGTGGAACACGTTGGGCAGGATGAAAGGCAGCAGCGAGCGGTCGGTCATGAGCTCCAGTACGGCCGGCAGTACCTTGCGCCGCAAAAGGCGGTCCGAGAACTGCGGGAGGATCTTGAGCAGGCCCTTGAGGTACTGCACGCGCTCCTCCTTGGTGCGTCCGGCAAAGCTGTCGCGCTCCATGAACTTGAGCGTCGAGACGAGGATCGAGTTGAAGTAGCGCGCTTGCTGGAACGACGCCGCGGTGAGACGCGCGGCAGGAAAGCGCGTGAGCAGGCTCGAGAGCACGTCGAGCACATCGCTGCCCATGCGCGACCAGCTCTGGCTGCCGATGGTGGTGGCGAGCTGGTCCGCGTTGCCCCGCAGGTTGGGCAGCGAGTTGCGGTTGCGAAACGGCGGAGAGCCCTTGTTGTGCACGGCGTAGACGACACAGCCCAGGCTGTACATGTCGTTTTCCGGCCCCAACTTTTCGTCGAGTGCATACTCGGGTGCCATGTAGTCAAAGTTGCGGCTCATGGCCGGCGGCAGGCTCGGGTCGTAGTCGGGAAACGTCCACGGCGTCTTGCCACCTCCGCCAGGAAGCTCGAGCGGCGTGAGAAACGAGAAGCCGGCGAGCTTCCAGTCGCCCTTGGCGTTGATGAGGATCGAGTCGGGAGAGAGGTTCTGATGGACCATCTTTGCGGTGTGGAGGAACTCGAGGCCACGTGCGACCTGGAGCAGGCCCTTTTGGATCTCGACCTCGTCCAGCTGCACGTCTTGGCGGTGGTCCGAGACGAGCGCTTCCGAGAGCGAGGCAAACACCTGTTCGGTGGCGAAGGTGACGTCGTTGCGCGACTCTTCCAGCGGCTCGACCACCTCGAGGATGCACGGATGGCGCAGGCGTGTGAGCGACGACGCCTCCTTCTTGAGCTGCTCGGTGATGCGCTGGCGCACCTGGCCGCGTGTGTTGAACGTATGCGTCCATATCGACACGGTATTCTTAGACGCCGATGAAGAGCTTGAGCCACCGGCAGCTGGGGCCAAGGACGACGCATTGCGCGTCGCACGGAAGATCTTCCACAGACCACAGTGCGCGGGCGACTGCGACTCGTCAATCGTGTAGTTGACCGAGATGTTGGTGCGTCCAAAGTAGGACGACGCCTGACTCAGGAACGACGCCATGGCGGGGTTGCGTCGCTTCCCGTGGCGAGTGCAGAGGGTGTGGCGGTGGAAGGTGGAAGAGGGAGGGAGGGTTGAGTTGGATTCGAGACGTGGCGAGACCAACACCGATGCAGTCGAGTGGGAATTCGGCGCTTGGCTGCGTGTGCAAAGCGGAGCGCGCCTCAGTTCCTCGGCCAGCCCACGCGAGTTTGGTGCTCTGCAGCCGCCTCCCCGCTCCCCCGCGCTCCGAGATCCGAAATATCATCCTCTCCTCCGCTTCAGAAGCAGGCTCACTATCCTGCACGCACAGCAACAGGCGCCAATTGGCACAAGCATTGCCCTAGGGAATGATAGAAGCCATCGTAGGTTGAAAGTGCTTGGATTACTGGTTGCATGCATGCAGAGCGCTTCAGAGCGCGACAAAGGAACTACTCCCAGCCGGTGGTCGCATCGGTTGCAGCTGGCTCGGGCGCATCAGCTGGCTCGGGCTCATCAGCTGGCTCGAGAGCAGCAGCAGCAGCCGCCGCCGCCGCCAGATTGAGAACGTTGCCGCGCTCGTCAACCACGGATCCGTGACGGCCCACACCGATGCCGTACCCGTCGGCGTGTGGATCCTTGCGAGCCTCTGCGGCGCCATCCCACTTTGCGCGACACCAGATGCAGGTCCTGGCAAATCCACGGCTGTCGAACCACTTTTGCAGGCAGTCGCTGTGGATCGGTCGACCGCACGACTTGAGACAGAACTCGAGGCCTTCGGTGCTGCCCGGCTCCAGGTCCTCGTAGCAGACACCGCACATGTCGCCTTCTTCCGGAATGATCCGCTTGCCCTCTTCGCCGCTCATCGACTCTGAGCTGGAGCTGGATGCAGCATTCGGATCGAATCCGACGGCGTTCTCCCAAGCGCGCCTCACGCCCTTGTGTGCCATGGCCTCGGCGACAGGATCCATGCGTGCCTCGGCGAAGATTGTCTCCAGCTCCGAATTGGATAGGCGAACTCGAGAGTAGACCGGCAGATGTCCCGCAAGGCGCAACACCTTGATGTACACGAAGAGGATGTGCTTGCACGGACGACGTTGCAGGGCAAAGTCCATACAGCTGCACTCGACGTTCTGGGCTAGCGCGACCTTGTAAACATTGCCCTTGCTGCCAAAGACGTCGAACTCCTCCCGAAGCGTGGTGCCGTGGCGGAAGCGATGGATGAGATAGAGTCGCTCCACGTGCGCCTTGGCGATGCGCTTGATGGTCGCCTCGGGGAGCTTTCCAAAGTGCTCGTCGTCCTGCAGCTCCTGCGTCTTGTTTCGCAACAGCGCCGCCTGGCTGAGCTTCTTGGGCTTGGCCTCCTTCTGCTCCTTCTTTTCCTTTGGCGTCGTCTTGGAAGGAGAGCTCCGGGGCGCTTTGGTCGAGGTGAATGGCTTCTTGTACCTGCGCTTGGGGCCTTCTTCGAGCTCGTCCTGCTCGGCTGCCGACTCGGATCCCAATGACCGACTCGTCCGCTTGCGCTTGGCAGCCGGGCTGGCACTGGCGCGCTTCGTGGCAGCCGAGCTGGATTCGGCCGCCACCTCGAATGACTCGCGTGATGGCGATGGTATCTTGGGGATCGGAGGCAGTTTGGTCCTTGCCGACCTACGAGGTTTAGGTGCCGGTCGGACGTTGGGGCCTTTGGCGCCAGTGATCTCGAAGCCCTCGTCATCGGAAGGCATCGTTGCGGATGCAGATGGTGGTGGATGGTCAGACAGCTATCACATGTGCGGATGTGTCCATGTCAAGAAGGAACAACCAGGAGAACACTCGAAGAAGGGTTGCGCAGCAAAAGTGGATGCGCAGGGGTCGGTTGGGTCGAGCACTTTGCTGCCTGCGTGTGGCAACGTGGAGGAAGTGCTCGCCTGCCTGCACAAAGCGTCGATGCTTTCGACCTTTCTCCAGCCTGCATGTGGGCCTCCGACAGGTGATTAGCCATTTGACACCTGCTCATGCGCACTTGGTGGGGGGCTCTCTCGACTGAGCCGAAAAATTCCAGACTCGCCTGGAGGTTGGACCCTGCATCCTTGTTGAAGCAGCAGGCTGACTCCTGAGGAATTCACATGCTCGTGCAGCGGAAGCGCGGGCCGCCTTCACCCGTCGTGAGCTAACTTGTCAGCCGACTGGCTTGCCAGGCGCATTTAGCCTTCAGCCTTCCATCTTGCGCGCACGGATGACGGCAGCGATGACACGAACCAGTCTCGCTGGCTCTGGTCCTCGAGGCTCGAAGCGCCCACAGCTCCTCGTGTGACTTTAGACAGTGCAATCAGCTCGGCAACGATAGCAGCAGCGGCGCTGATTCACACAAAGTCCGATGGCAGGGCATCGGAGCACAGAGAGTAGCTCAACAAAAAAGCGCTGGGGTTTCCGGTCGGGTATCGTACAGAACAACAAAAGTCATCGCTCTGTCACGTCGGGAAGAATCGAAGCGGTGCGGCGTACGAAGAAAGGGAGGGAGGGGCTCAGAAAGCGGCGAGCACCTCTTGGACGATCAAGGGCACGTCGTTGGCCTTCTGGAGCGCGCGCAGACGCGCCAAGGAAGCCTCGGGCATGTGGTACTGCTCGCCCTTGGACGAGGTCACGGCGACGTTGTCGATGCGGCCGCCGACGTCCCGGAAGCGCAGGTTGACGTGCACGAGCGATTGGTCCGGCAGTGCGATCGACTTGCGCTTGCGTCGCGGCGCCGCAGCCTTGGCCTCGCCGTTCTGCATCTGCGCGTTGAGCGCCGCCGAATCGAGCGGGAGCTTGTAGGTGATGCGGATCTCGTTGGCCGAGATGGCCTCGATCTCGTCGACGCCCAGCAGCGACTTGAGAAGGCCGATGGTGGCGATGTGGCTGGCGCACAGGCGTTCGGTCTCGAGATCGCGCCCGCCATCGAGGCCCATGCCCATCTTGGCTTCGTTGGCGAATTTTTCGGCGAGGGAGCGTTCGGCGTTGATCCTGTCGAGCGCTCGGAGCGACGAGACGAGGTCCTTCTTGGTCGTCTCGATGGCTCTCTTGACGTCGGTCGTCTTGCCCTCCAGTGCGGTCATGTCGCCGATCTGCGCATCGCAGTACTCCTCGGCCTCGCTGGTGGTCAGAGGCCCGTCGCGACCGGCGATGGCGGCCACATTGCCGCCCTTTCCGTGGTTCTGGGCTCGAATCTTGGCGAGCTCCAGCTCCATGTCGCCGATCTCCTTGATGAGCTGCTCGGCCTCGCGACTGTCTCGTTCCACCTGCTGCCAGGGCTCAAAGAGCTCGTCGGCTGCAGCATCGACCTCCCTTCGGAGCGCGCGCACTTCGGCTTTGGCATCGGTGAGTTGCGTCTTGAGCGCCTTGGCCGCACGTTCGCGTTCTGCGACCTCGGCGGCCGAGTAGACGGTCGCCTCTTTGCCGGAATCGAGGTCGTCCTGAATGTCGGCCATGAAGCGCATCTTCGTCTCTTGCTCCAAGTAGATGAACTTGAGCTTCTTGAAGTAGTCCTGTGTGCGGCGTGAGGTGTCGATGCAGGCATGGAAGCGTGTCAGTTACAGTCGGATGGAGCCGCCAATCGCACGAAGTCACTTACAAGCAAAAGCCTCTCCTCCTCGTTCAGTCCTTCGGGCCATTCCTTGTACACGGCCCAGTTGATGTCGAGCTCGCCTTCGGAAGCGAATTGCGACATGCTGCTGCGTCTGCGCTTGGCTGGAGATGCATTGTCGCCGAAGAGACGCCTCTGATGATTGCGATCAGCTTTGGAGAGCAGCTGGTCCCGGAGCGTGTGAAGCGACAGATTCTCCGGCGAGATGTCGAAGGCACTGGTTGCCAACTTTGTAGGAGAGCGAGCGGAGAGCTGAGGCCCGAGATCCGCAAGAATGCTGTAGATTTAGACAGGGGGAAGATCGGCGGGTCAGCTAGCAGAGTCAAAGACCAGGTAGCGGGCCCTTGACGGGCTCGTCGAGTCAACTCACGTTCTGGCATCGCTGATAAGCGCCTTGACGACATCCGGATTGAGCTCGATCGGTGCCGAGCCCGAAGTGCTGCTGTCTGCTTCCTCATCGGCACCTCCAAACTGCACTTTGCGCGTGCGTGCTGGCGGCGCTTCGGGCTCGGAAGGGCGGCCGCGCGAGTTGCGCTTCGAGCTAGGACCGGCCATCTTGATACGAAGAGAGGGAGAGAGAGAGGTGGATGGGAGCTCACTTCACGAGAACGGAGAGCAGGATGGTGGTCGCGACCGGTGTGATTTTTGCAGAGAGCCTCCACGCCTTGCAGTCAACAGCCGGACACGCTGCGCCCCGACGCGCCTCCAACGCGCTGCTGCTGCTGCGCAGAGACCAACACGCAACACCCAAATTTCGAAAAGCACACACGTGACTTGGCGCGGCCTTTTCTCCACTTTCCGGTCACTTTTTTCCTGCTGCATGCACGTCACCCTAAATCGGCTCCAAGGGTAAAGAAGTGCATGGCCACTCTTGGCAGCGATCTTGAACCTGATGTTCTTGTTCTTCACGCTCTTTCCCAACAGCGTTGATCCGCAGCCAGCGCATAGCTCTGGGAACTCTCTGATGCGCATCGTCTGCGCATCATATCCGCGCGGCGAGTAGGTCCCGGCTCGTCTCATCCAACGACGCATCCACGGACATTTTCCCCTTGCCTCATGCCGCTCACTTCCGAAATCTCATATATGAGACGCCTCAATCCGTCTCGGCGCTTGGAATGAACGAGGAGCTTCTCTCAGCCACAAGAGGTCTCTCCTTGTCACCTCGCAAGAGTCCACGTCCGGCTCTTCAAGCTTCTACAACAAAGCTTCTGGCCCTTTCGCCGAGCCCTCATGCCTCTTGCAGCGGCAGACCTGCGCTGGCCACCTCGCCTCATCAGAACGCGCCACATCCCCCTTTCGGTGATCGGAGCGATCAGAACAGTGCATCGAAGCTGGAGAGTCCTGCTGCTCGGGTCTCACCCTACTTCAACATGCCGAGGGGTGTCAAGCGACCAAGGCGCGACCTGGAAGCAGCCGACAAGGCTAACGCCCACGTCAGCACTACGCTCAATGGCTTACATCCCCACGCTCTTTCCGGAGTCAACGCCCATGACCCCATCGTGATCTCGGACGATGAAGAGTGCCAGCCTTCAGTCCGCGTTTCCCCATCCACCGAGATACGCAGCCTCGCAAAGAAGTTCACATACGAAAGCCCGAGCAAGGCAGCCTCACGCGAGAAAGCTGGCTCAAGCTCCAGCAAGCTCCAAGAATTCAAGCCGGACCTACAGTCGGACTCACCGGTCTCATTCAGTGCTGCTGCTCTCGCCAAGGAGCCGACTGCTTCCACCTCGATCAGCAAACCGGCATCGCGTTCCCCTAAACGACAGAAGGCGAGCAAGTCAAGCATCCGTCCCACAGTTCAGCCCAAGAAGACCGTGAAGCTCGCCCAAGAGGCTGGTGTTTCGGCCCTTGATCTCTCTGACTTGACATCGGCTGCCTTTCGACTCTTGACTCGCTGTTCATTTTGCGCAGCTGCCTTCACCAAGTCTGCCACGCCAAAGGCCAAGCAGGAGCACTTGTCGTTGTGCGCACCGCTTCATTCGATCATCAAAAGCTCAACCGCTCTCGAGACGATCACATCCGACATTCGCAGCGCCGTCGCCAGAGAGCAAGATGCGAAACGAGACGCACAGGCCAATCGCACCGTCTTCCAGGACGTCGTCATGGACGCCGACTTGGTCATGCACGAAGGACGAGCCAGCCAGATCGAGGCTTCTTCCAAGAAGCGCGGCAGGGACTCCGTCATGGTCAAAAAGGCCATCAAACGATCCACAAAGCCGCCCCTGCTTCTTTCCACCTCGAAAGAGACCGCAGCGATCGGTTCAGTCACGCACACGGCTAGTTCGCGACTCCAGTCGCCTCGCAAGGCCGGCATCGCTGCACGCGATCTCGCAGACCACTTGTTCAGCGAGGAGAAAAACCCGTCGCTCCCTCCTGCTCAGGCCCACGAAGAGGACTCGGCCCCGGCGTTCGATCCCACTGCAGTGCTGCCGGCCACGCCGGACAAGCGAGGAAGCAGTAGTAGTGCCAACTATGATCTTCCCATGGTGTCTGCAGAGGAAGTGTTCGCCACGCTGACCTACACAAGTCCAAAGACTAGTCCCTTCAAGGCTCTGCAGATCTCACGCCAAAAGCAAGCATCGCGCGATCAAGAGTTGATGGCGCTGGGAATTGGAAGCAATTCCGTGCCAACAAGCCCTTGTCCGCCACCTACGCAGCCATTTATGCCCTCCAAGCTCGCCCTGCGCCGCCGAGGCCAGGACGCCAAAGTGTGCCCGAGCGTTTTTGACGCCGCAGCAACCAGTCGCTCGCTCTTGGATCTCGTCTCTGACCATCGAATGGAATCCGACGATGCGAAAAACGAAGCCAAGCGCAAGGCGGCCCGGCTCGATCCTCCGGACCTTGTCGCTCCAGCCAAGAAGGCGAAGGCTTCCAAGGCAGAGGACTACTGTGTGGCCGATCTGAGACTCGAAGACAAACACGATTCCGCGGTTGCAGATCAAAGCTCTCGCGTCTCGCTCGCCGGCTCGCCCTCGTACGACATGGACGTCGATGCGATGTCGACCGGAGACCAGCCAAGTCTCGAGTTTCCCGCGGACGAGGACCACAAGATCGGTAAGCATCAAGCACAAGCATCCTCATCCATCCTTCAAGCTCCCGCAAATCGTCGCTTCAAGACTGACACAAGTCCACCAACGTCTGCCAATATACCCCAGTGCGACGCAATTGATGAATTCGTCGGCTCGCCTGCTCTTCAGCAGCATGATGATCAGGGCATAGCTGCTAGAGTGGATGAATACTCCAGCGAAGCGGAGGAAGATGATGCCGACGATGACGATGCGCAATCGTTCCTTGATCTGCTCGAGCCATCCGAGCCGTACGAACCGCATGCAAAGGCCTACTTCCCAAGCACTGTCTTTGCTGTCCAGGCACATCCACAGACGCTCTCTCCAACTTCATCGGATGACACAGCGACTGTCACCTCGCCACCGTCTTCTGACAGGCGACGTCGAATGCTCGTCGCTTCAGGTGGTGCCTCTGTCGGCTTTGTTCGGCGACGTGGACGGCAAGACTCGCCACACTTCGATCAAGTCGCCTCCTCGGATCCGATGCAGGACCAGTCGAGCCCTGTGATTGCCATCCGAGCTGCTGAGAAAACGGCGGTGACGGATTCTGAGCCCGATATCAACGGCGCAACAGACACCAGCTCAGCAAGCACACCGCAGCTTTAGCCGAATCGCATCTCAGAGCCGAAGCGCAAATGGCCTTCGTCGAGTGGGCATACCCTTGCACCCCCATAGATACCCATCGAGCCTCGACTGCTCTGCAAGCATCCTTTTGCTCTTCTCATCCTGACGGCGCGAGACTGTTGAGACTGACTGGTCTGAGTACGCTTGATCTAGATTTGCACGCTGAGATTGAACTGCGCTCTGCGCTGCGGAATGCGAGGGAAGAGAGGTGACGCTAGAGCTCGTCGTGAGGATGGTGGGAATCTTGGCTGACTGGCTCGTTTGCGGCCACCTGGCTGTCGGGGGCAACGACGCTGGCACCCACGATACGTTGGTCCACAAGGCGCTGAGCCAGAGCGGCCACCTCCTGGTCGTAGACGTTCCACTCTGGGATCTGGCGTTTGGCACGTTCGAGTTTGGGCTCTTTGGTCTTCGGATTCGAGCAGAGGTCGATGGTTTTGGCGCGGTGGAGCCAGTCGTTTGAGCACCACGTTTCGCACCACAGCCACTCCTTGTCGAGCGTAAAGATGGGCAGACTGGCCTGCATGTTGTTGGGCAGATCCTGGTCGAGGTTACTGAGCGAATTTGGGTCGGCCGATAGAGCCTGGTACTGCCCACGCAATCGATCGCCGGCTGCAAACAAGCGGAACCGATTCAGATCCACCACATACAGCGCCGAGATGTGGTAAGGTCGTCCGCGGAGGTAGTCTTTCCAGTAACCCTGTTTCCAGAATCGGAACCCATCCATATCTTCCGAATCATCACCCATCGGAGGATAGCCATAAACATGGCCCTGAAGATCCAGATCAACAAGCTCCTTCATGTCGGTACGGACTACTTGATCCGCATCCACAAAGATCACCTTCGATAGGTCGAGCGGGAAGAGCGTATCGAGAAAGAGGATCTTGTAACCCCAGATGGTGCGTTGCTTCTCGCGCTGCGCTCGCAGCCAGTGCGGCCACGCATACGTCACCAGCTCGTACTCAAACCCATACTCCCTCGCCAGATGCGGAATGAACTCCTTGAACGAAGGCGAGAGGAAGTTCTCGATGAACCAGAACTTGACGCTGCTCGATGTATGCTTGAGCACCGACAGGATCATGATGTACGTCATACGCTCGTACAGATGTCCACTGGCAACCGTAAAGATGTTGATATCCGCATGCTTGCGGGCCGCCACAACCTTGTTGTCCGTGCTGCTCACCTTGCTTGCCCACGAAGCGACCTTGTGCTTGGCGGAGGAAAGCAGCGCACTTGCCGATGCTGCAATGCCTTCTTCGGCACCTGCTCCATCGGAGCGCGCTTTCTTCATCGGGCGTCCCTGTGCATCGAGCTCCTCGAGCAGCTCCTCGTGCTGCTTGCCTGCACGTTTCACGACGCGCGGATAGATCGTCAGACCCGACAAGGTGTCCAGCGTCACATCCTCGCCCGTCACATCAACCGAGGCGCTGTTCCAGCCATTGCCACCCACACTCTGCATCTGGTATAGCTCGTCGCTGCGACCTGGTCGGATGCGCAGCTTCCACAGGCCCGGCTGCGCCTTGAACTGGAAGTACGCCAGATTCGCCATGACGATCGTGTCGAGGCTCGTGCTCGCGTCAGGCGTCTCGAGGAGCAGCTGCAGTCCTCGCGGCACCGACACCGCCGTGCCTGCACTCTCCTCGCGCGCATGGCCTTCGATGAGAATGTGCTTGAGCTCATACACCGCCTTGACGCCTTTAGCTCGAGAGGTGGAAGGCACGTCGGCGAGGCGGATGTTGTCCAGATCATACACCGCCTCCACCGGCATGGTCAGCCAGGGCGCAGGCGCATCGAGCCCGAGCGTCAGCACCGCCTCTTCCGGCATGTCGAAGAATCGCAGCTCGGCTGCTGTCGCGCGAGCGTCCGGACCAAACTGCGGTCGATGCGGCGCACTGAAGCGATAGAACCGCTTGAGCGGCAGCTCGCGCAGCTTGATGTCCGGGTTGAGAATTACGCGCACGTACACGCCGTGCAGCTTGCTGAGCATCTCCAAGATGCTCGACCAGCGCTGAGCAGACTCTGAGAGCGGATTGACCAGCAGCGTGATCCGGATGTCCGAGGTCGCACGCTCGCCGATCTCGAAGATGTGATCCTTGGTGCCTAGCTGATCAGGCAAGCCCGAGCGAGAGTGACCCTTTGCCGAGAAGATGCCTTGCCCCGCGCGACTCTCCTCGTAGACGCCGTTCATCACTGATAATGCAGCAAACATGAGGTCCTGACGTTCCCGCGGGCTCATCTCGTCGATGTTTTCCCGGAGCAGCTTGAGGGCCTGCTCGATGTACGGCAGCTTCTGGCCGGCTTCGTAGTCGACCAGGGCAGTCACGTCTCGAGCCTCGATGGACTCGACGTCAAAGTTGGAAGCCAGGTGTCCGTCGACGAGAATCGCTGCACTCGACAGCCCGTACTTGGAGGCGATGATGGATCCAGTGCTGTCCCAGAACTGCCGAGCTGCTCTCTGATTTGCGGCCAAGTCGTATCGCTCCTCGTGCCTCTGCGTATCTGAGGTGGGAAGACCGACAATGTCCAGCAGCTCGCCCATTCCCCTAATTGGAATCTTTTGCTCTAGCAACTGCTGCAAGTGCTTGATCGCCTCAACCATCGTGGCCGCTTGAAGTTGATCCAAGCGCTTCTCCCCAATCAAGCGGTACAGCAGGGTCGACAGCAGATGTTCGTTGCTCGCCTTTTCCGACGATTCCGTCGGCGTATGCAAGACTCCGAGTCTGAACGGCGCATTGTCTCGTCCGAGTGCCTCGAATGCTTGCAACAGCAACGTCGAGCCTTGATGCGAATCAAGGTCCGCCAGCACCCAGACAGTGGAATTGAGAAGCGCACCAGTTGCTCCGCCAGTCCGGCTGTCCGCGGCGACTGCCTGAGGATAGAAGAACTGGAATACCTGTGTGGCTGCTGCGGATGGGATGGTGTCGTCGAGGAGGGCCGAGAACAGATCCACGGACTCGTGCTTCGCATCAGCAGCGCTGCCTTTCTCAGCACGGGATGCGGAGCTTGATCCAGGAACCAGTGCCGAGCGATAGGACAGGGCGCCGACAGCATCGTAGAAGAGCGTATCAAGCCCCGGCGTGCTGCTGCTGATCTGTCCATAATAGATTTGAGGCGCAAGCACCTGAATCTGCTCCTGAATGGCCTGGTGGAGAATATGGACGATCTGCGGATGGAATGGGTGATGCTGACCGTTCACAAAGACGTGGCCTGTGGAGCTCTCTGCGCGCGTCGCTCGAAGTCGCTTTATGTATGCCTTGGTGAGCGCTTCTCTCTGGGTGTAGTTCGAATCATCGCCCGAGAGCACCGCATCAAAGCGTGCGGCCAGCGACCCGTCCGCATCGAGGTTCTTGAGCGCAAACTTGGCTTCCTTGACAGCCACCGAGACATTGATTTTGTCTGCGGATCCACTCTTGCTTGCGGACGCTTTTCGAAGCACGTCGGAAAGAAGCTGCGGACCTGCTTCTTGCAGTACAAACCAAAACAGGCGCGCCATGCGGATCGAGTCGGTGTTGGCATCGTGTTCGAGACCGCCTGGCACCAAGCCCCAGTGCAGACCGACACGGCCAAGGCTCTGGATGGCCGTCTCGACGAGGAATCGACAACTTTCTTTCTGGCTCAGATCGAGGACGAGCACGACGTTGAAGAGGTTGCGAGAGAGGCGCGGGAACTTGCCGGGCCACATTGGGCGGAGCAAGTCCATGAGATCATCTGACCAATCGCTTGTCGCCTCGTCCTTTTCCAAATCGTTGAGCCATGTGATAGCGCCCATCGAGGTACCTTCTGGTGCGGTCTTGAGCTCGATCCGGTCGCTCGCATCGAAGGTGGCCGCGGCTGAGCTGCCTTCCGACTGCGCGAGGAAGGCACGACCTACCAGACTGGACGAAATCAGGTCGGCGGCTTCGGTCACGTTGAGACCGCCGCCTGCGAGGCTATGTTGAAGGGCACGAGACCATCGGCGTTCGCTACGCAGGGTGTCGAGTAGCGCAAGAGGCATAAAGTCTCTCGCATTCGTATTCTGTCCGTTGAGCCACAGTTCGGAAGAGCCCGGCTGGATGCGCATGCTGCTCAGGCCGAGCACAGCTTCGACGAGAGAGGCAGAGGCGTCGTCGTCATCCCACTTTGTCGAGCTGGCCAGAGCTGCTGCGTGCGTAGGAAAGTTTTGGGAGAGCTCCTTCATGGCTCGCAGCGGATCTGCAGAAGACATGATGAGCCTGGCGGCCTTGATGCCGAGGTCAGCGATCTGGTCTTCTGAGAGGGAAGAAAGTCCGAGGTTCTGCTCTGTCTCTGTGTCCGTGCCGATTTGCTCCTGCAGCCAGCGCAGGTTGTCCGATGCCTTCCTGGCGGCAACTTGTTCCTCGCCGTGCGAGTCCGTTGACGAGCCGACGTCGCCCACCTCGCTATCGTCCTTGAGCTTGCGGTCGTCGATAACGAGGTAGTCGACCTTTTTGAGATCCAAGATGGCTCCATAACCTGCCAGCATGGGTGCAGCTTCATCCTGTGACCGAGTGCCAGCAACGTCCAGCGCGGGTCTCCAGCGGAGAGTGTATGTGAATGGGGCCGCAGATTGGCTCGCATACTCTTCCAGCGTGGAGAAGAGCTCTCGGAAGTTGTTCGAGTACGGATCGGCGTACAAGATGACAGAGGGTCGGTCTCCTTTGTTGGGTTTGGAGGTGGCTCGATGGTGACCAAAAGCGGCGCCGTGACTCTGTCGCAGCTCAGCCTGGGATGCATCGACGCCGAATGCCTCGCATAGTTCCTGAGCCGAACAGAGGGCCTGGCCTTGATGGTGGACCCAGCTGTCGCAAGGACTATCGGAAGTGCGCGTCTGCCAGATCTCGTTGAGCTGCATCGTCTTGTACAGCTGAGCGAAGGCTTCCACTCTCGGAGCGCTGTTTTGAAGCGCCAGCGCCATCCTCCAAGCATCGAGCTCCTGATTGGCGAGCGAATCGATTGCACCAAAGAGAGCAAGCGACCTGATGGCATCTTCGACTGCATTGGCCAAGAACTCGTCGGAAGCAGCACGCAGCTCGGCGGGCGAGTGTCTGCTGGTGAGGGCGTCGATCAAGGGGAAGAAGCTGGATGGTCTTTGTGATCGCGCCGCCTCGAGCAATTCGAGCAGGAAGGGAGAGCCGCGGCTGGGCAGGCTGAATCTGGACCACGAAGCTCGCAGCTGCACTTTGACTGAAGGTGCTTGGGCTACGACACGCTGCGCGGGCAGGGTGACCGAGAGCGCAAACAGCAGAGCCAGCCAGGCGTAGCTGGTGCTCAGCAGCGAAATCGCACGCATTCTGCCTTGTTGCGCAGGCGCGCGTCGGGTTGGGAGTGGGTCAGGGACGATGATGCGGAGGGATGGTGGTCGAAGAGGACGAGGATGAGCAGAGTGAGGAAGCGGTGGTCAAAGCGCCTCAAGCACGATTTCCTCCACGTCGGACCTTCATCTCAGGGTCGCCCAAATCACGATCGGCCAGCGCCCGATCCAATACAAAGAGCTCTGCACACCATCTTTGCTTGATGCCGATGCCGTCAAGACCATTCAGCGGTGCTACAGCATCGGCATCCACTTGGCGGTACGTTCCAAGTAGGGCCCGGTCTCCGTTTAGTGGTGAGTGGCAGGCGGGCATATCTGGAACTCGTCCACAGAGGTATCAACATCTCAAAGTCATAGCACACAGCACCACGCAGGCACAGACAAGCGAGATGGGTGAAGACGACTTCATTCTGGAGGCAACAAAAGAAAGCCAGTGACCGACTGCTACAGCGGCTCAAGGATCGCGAATGGCACCAAATACCTGCGTATTGCAACAGGATCTATCAGAAACGAGCGGCCAACCCTCCCTCGGAGCTCAGGAACAAGCTCCCACTTAAGGTCGCAAGCCGTGTTGCTCGTCGGGCAAAGGTCCTCGGCGGGCGGCTAGAATCAATGGTGTGCACGAGGCACATCATCGACAAGGCCCTTGGATAGCCTCACTGTCGTGAAGGGCGGCAGCGCTCGGGTTTCATCTACTAGATTGAATAAGGTGACATGCAATTGAGCATGTAGAATCGGATATCGACTTTATTAAGTGATTCCGTAAAGCTGCGAGGGAGAAAGCGAGGCAAAGGCGACGATGTTAGTGGATCCGTGCTGGTTCGAGGCGGACGGGATGCAAGAAAGGGGGATGGCGGAGGCGGGATGCTGATGGGCCGACGGCCGTGCTCGAGGAGTCGAGCAATGTCGACTAGCCAGAGCAAGGGGAGGGAATCGCAAGGTAGGGGTCGGGAGTGGTACTCACTATGATCTTGGAGAGAAGGAAGGAGGGATGCGCGAAGAATGCCGGGTTATATAGCTTCTGCCCTCCCTGCTCGGCACAGCAACCAGCCCTCGCTCTGCGCGAGAATTTTTTTTTGAAGAGAAAATTTCAGCTCCACTCGAGCTGCGGTCTGGAAGCCGGAATTTTTGAGCCTGGCCTTGGAAATTTCTCGAGCTGCGCGGTGGGGCTGAAAAAACTGCGGCACACCTGTGGCACCGAGATGAGCCTGCCGCACCGGATCCACACCTTCTGCGGTCGACAAGGGGCTCAGAATGATTAGAATGGGCTGCGGTACTCTCGACGTAGTCGTCGACAACGTTCACAGCGAGGGCGAGGGTGGGCACGGACATGCGAAGCCTTGAGGGTTGCCAGGTCTCTGCTCAGGGAGGTCTTCAGGGTCCGTGGAAGCGGCAAAGCGCCAATCGAGATCCAACTGACACGGATCGGCCCGATTACGAAGTTCGGATGACGGTCTAACAAATAGTATTTCTAGACTGAGATCGGCGATCTGCAAGGGGCTCCAACTGGCGTTCTGAAAGCTGGCACCTCAAACGGAGGAGACTATCCGCAAGGGAAGCAGTAGAGGGAGGGGAGAGGAGGGCTTGGTGCCGGGTGCCGAGTGCAACGACTGCTGTTGCAAGATCAGGGGTGGCGACAGAGAACTGATGGTGCTGCAGCGTGCCAGCGAGGCGGTCGCGGTCGAATTCGATGCTACGCCGAGCGCTGGCAGGCCGAGCTGGAAAAAAGAAAGTGTTGGTCTCAGGTTTTCTCGCGAGGCGCCAGCAAGGCAAGGAAATTCGGCGGCGCCGTGCAGGGAAGCCAAGTGACCGCGCGCAAGTGCATCGCGACAAGGCCAAGCAAGACTGGCTCGGCGTGGATTCCGAGAGCGATGGCCGGCGCTTGCCAGGAGGCGTCGCGCCGAGACCTTTCTCTCCTCGATCGGATTCCGCAATGCTCTGCCGGCGCTCCTGCAGACGTTTCTTCGTAGGCGAGGCCAGGCGCTTTGGCAGAACGCATTGTTGCAGGCAGGCCTCGATCGAGGGTAGCCCCCCAGATCGGTCATGCTGCCAGCTGCAGTCGGAGCACCTGCCTGCAACGTTGCCGTTGCCACTGAGCCCGCGCGGTGATTTCAGCCCAGCCTGTCACTCGCGCCGACCGCGCCGTGCCTTGACACCTCCCTGCCCTACTGCCAGTCCGAGCTGGTCTTGACGTTTGGAAGCAGGCTCCGACCATGTGAGCCAGCAATGCATCCTGCTTGCTGGCAGGGCTACCTCGCGGAAGACTTTGAGCAGACCATGAGGAGACCGCATTGCGTGCCGTGCGGTGCCGTGCTGTATGTGCGTGCAGTGTGGTGCGTGAATAGGCGAAGACAAGGGCGGCAAGGGGCCAGGGCGAGCGGCGGCAACCGGCCAAGGCTGCTGCGAGTGGCAACGGCGGAAGTCCGCCAAGCAGCATTGTGCAGTCCAAGCTGCCGAGCCTGCCAACGAGCCTCTTCTGCGAACCTTTTCGAAAGCATCGAGCCGACGTCGGCGCGGCGCGGCGCATCTGCGAGTAGCGCCCGTCGCCTACGACTCGCTTGGCAAGCAGCTAAAACGGCGTGCATGCAGCCGTATGCCAAAATGGGGTGCCATACTGTACTCGGTGCAGCATGCTCGCCTCGTCCACACCTTGCACCGCCCGCTTCACCACGCCGCCGCCTACTGTACAACGTGCTCGTACGCGCGTCCTCATTCAGTCACAGTGCGACGCATGTACGACATGCGTGTGGTGGTGGCGACAGCGTTGCGCTTCCTGACAATCGCATGCGCTTTCGAGTCGACGGCGGTGTCTGCGATTTGATGCTGAGCGGTTCTACTGCCGGTCCGCTGTCAGCCTCACTGAGCGCCCCCCTCTTCCTCCCAAGTTCCCGGTGTGTGCTGTGCTGTGCTCCTCCTCGGCTCCCCTGTCTGCGTGCATCGTTCGTTCCTTTTGCCCTTCCTTCCTTCCTTCCGTTCCACAACATCCTCGCCCCCAGTCTCGCTTCCTCCGTCGAACCACGTCCCTCTCCTCGCATACACGTATCCCAAGTTGCTGGTCTTCTTTCGATACGCTCCCATCTGTTCACCTGCTCTGCTGCGCGGAACTGCTTGAACTCGACATCAAAACCAACTCGACTCGACGTCGTGATCCATCTTGCTTCCCCCCATTAACCCTCTCCTCTCGTCCTCTCCTTGTCCTCGTCCCCGTGTGGTTCGACACCATCCCCACCCCCTCTCATACGCGTCCATCCCGACCTTGTACCGCTTTGGCAAGATACTTTCGACAAGTCATCTGTGCCTACCGACATCCGCTTCGATCGCATCCGCTCGTCTACTTCTAGCATAGCATCATCACCCTTCCACTGAACACAATCGTTCGTTGCATTCCCTCTCTCCCACCCAACGTTACTTGACCCGGCATCTCTCCGTCATCATGGCTCCCATCGCAAAGACCGTATGCGTGGCGCTTGCCGCCATCGCCCTCGCCGCCACGGGCACCCAGCCCGCCCAGGCCCACCAGCTTCACTCGCGCCACGCCGCTGCTGGTAGCAACGTCTACCACAACCTTCACTCTCACTCTCGCCGCATGGAGCGAAAGATCCGTCGAAACGACTCCTTCTCCATCTCGGGCTCCGGCAGCCTCTCGGGCGCCGCTGCCGTCGACGGCGCTTACTCCTCCGCCTCCATCTCGGGCTCGGGCTCCATCTCTGGCTCGGCCTCTGACTCGGGCTCGCAGTCCAGCGCCCAATCCCAGTCCGACTCTGGTGCTGCTTCGGCTGCCAAGTCGGGTACCGACTCGGGAGCTCAGTCCAGCGCCCAGTCCAGCGCTCAGTCCAGTTCGGAGGCTAGCTCGGAGGCTAGCTCGCAGGCTAGCTCGCAGGCCAGCTCCGAATCGAGCGCTCACTCGAGCTCTCAGTCTGATGCCAACTCGAGCTCGTCCAGCAGCTCGTCCAACTCGTCCAGCCAGTCGAGCTCCCAGGCCAGCTCCCACTCCAGCTCCGAGTCGAGCGCCTCGTCCAGCTCTCACGCCGAGTCCCAGTCGGGCTCGAGCGCCAACTCGAGCGCCAACTCGAGCGCCAACTC